ATATTATATATACATTATATTATATTATATTATATTATATATTATAATTTTGTTAATGATATAGTAATTAAATTTAATAAATTGTAGGTTGAATTTTAAAAATGACAGCGGGTACAAGCTTAGTAGTACCTATAGTTTTATGGGGTCGAATAGCTCCAACTCATTGCATTTCCTGTATCTATTTGTCCCGAGATCAAAAAACATTAGTAACAGGATGTTATGATGGTCAGATATGTTTGTGGCAAGTAGATCCTGAAACATTAAAGGTAAATATATATTTATCTTTCAATTAAATTTTAAAAACATTAATTAATAATTATTAAATAATTATATTATTAATTATATATTAAGATGACTCCAAGATGCTTACTTGTTGGTCATACTGCTCCAATAATGTGCCTGAGTCGCGCAAGTGTTATTATGGAACAAAATTTTATTGTCAGTAGTAGTGAAAGTGGAGAAATGTGCACTTGGGATTTAGTTGATGGAAAATGTAGGGAAGCTGTAAAACTCAGCAGTGTTCATACACAGATGTTGCCTTATGTCTCCGCTGGTGGAGAAGATGTTAGACTGTTTTGTTCAGGGTATGTTATAATTTCATTAATACATTTTGAAACAATATACACATTTATTTTAAAAATTTAAAGAATATTCATTTTGTTATTTTAGATACTATCCTGAGGTTTTAGTAATGGACCCTTTTAGTTTGGAGGTTTTATTTACTCTAAGTTCACGTGTTCATCCTGATTGGATCAGTGCTTTGCACGTTCTACGACCGGCCAAACGGAAAGGTCGGTTCTACGTGCATACAAGTTAGTTACACTCCATCACACCTATGCTTTATACCATAAACTGCTACCTTATCTGTTTTTAATTTCTTAACCAATCTATATTGTGCAAAAATTTATTTTACTTTGTTATACAGAAATATTATTTCATTATAATATAATTGAATTATTTTATTTAAATTTTAAATAATATTAATTTGCACAATATGTTTGGTATTTCCTGGCTAATTAATTTTTTATATTCTATCTTTCTGCTCAACAGGTTTTTTATTTAGATACTGTTAATCAAAGTACATATTTTTATGCACTATTATTTATTCAATTGAAATATGTAATAAATTTTGTAATATCTTTTTTGATAAAGTAATTAACAAGGATAAAACTTTATATATAGATATTTTTTATATTTTTAAAATTTTAAATTTTCTGCTAACTTTTCAAGCAATTAATCAAAAGAAGCTTTATGCTTTGGGTATATTAGAAACTTTGCATCTAACTATATATTTTTTTGTCAATAATATTTCATAATCATTTAAATTGATGGTAAAACTTCAATGTACATTATATTGTATTATTTAAATAATAATTTAAATACTATTGAAATTTTAATGAATATTATATTGTTGCAGCATGTTAATGAATCATATATGGAGACATATCAATACTATTACAGTGGCAATTAAGGCTCTCTCATTTTTTTCATATCTTTTTTTTCATTATAAATAATCATAAAATCAAATGAGCAGACATTAATATTTGAATAAACCTTTCTTTTATGCTACTCTCCTTCATTCGCATTTCCTTTCACAAAATCATTATAGCATACATTGCATTTATCTACATTAATCATTTTCATATCATTTATGATACACTATTACTTATCGTAAGTATACATTACAGCTGATAATTTTTAATGTTTGAATGCAATGAATGCAATTGTATAAAAATTCTGTTTAATGTGGCTTTTTTATTATAATAGTATTATTTGATGCATTTCTTAATTTAATTAATTTGTAAAAAAAAATTTTTTCTTATATATTTTACATAACAATATATGAAAAATTATTTGTATTTATTTTATTCCATAACATATATTTATAATAAATGTCTTTTTTTTTTACAGAATAAAATTATAATTAGTTATTAAAGTATAATGTTAAAATTATAAAAATTATATGAATAAATAATAATGTAAATAATATTTAAAAAAAAGATAATTACATGTATTATAATTGATCAAGAGTTTTTTTTATAATATTTGCATTAAATATATTTTTTTTAATTATAAATTAATTATATTTTAATATAAATATAAATTTTAAATACATTCTTGGAGATTTAATATTAAAAATTCATTAATTAGTAAAATACATAACTAGTAAAATAAAATACATTTACAAATTCATAAGATTATGAATTTGAATTTTGATTGGATTTTTTTTAAGTAATTTATATTGGAAATTATATTTGGAAATTATATATTTGGAAATTAGCAATTATTACAAAATACTTTATGCATGATTCAAATAAGCATGAATTGAAATCTATTTATAGATATGACTTTATTTTATTGAAAAATAATTTTAAAATTTTATTTTGCATGAAATTATTACATTATATTATTCACTGAATGATCATTAATTATTTTAAATATTTTCTTTTTTTGCTTTCAATATATTTATTTTTCAATATTAGAATTAAATTTTATAATTTTATAAAAAATTAATAATTTTTTATGCATTTATGATATTTATAAGGTGTCATATGTTAACACTTATTGGAAATTATTTTTTGCTTAAAATATTATGACACCTTCTTAGATATAGTTAACGCGCAACAGGCGCTTCCATTCATTTAAAGACGACGTTGTGCTGGCCTTAACGACGACTGGTATGGTCAAGGTGTGGACTCTTCTTGGGCATGAAAATCGTAATAGTGAACCTCTTTATGAACATGAAAGCAAACAAATACGATGTTTAAATGCACTTGCTATGACTTGTTGCCCATATAATCAAAGAACTGTATTAATTGTGTGCTCTAAACATTGGCAGGTATATGTTAATTATTATTACAATTTCTCAGATTAATTGATTTTTTTACTGATACAGTATCTACATTAGATATATGATGCTGGTGACTTCTCTCTTCTTTGTTCAATTACTGCACCTTGTGGTGAACGCTGGATGTCTGGAGATTTTTTAGCTGCAGATAGAGTTATTTTATGGAGTGATGAAGGTCATGGCTATCTCTATAAATTACCAGCTAAGTACGTTTTTAAATAAAATATTTTTTTTTTATTTTTAATATATTTTTTATATTTTGAACTTGTCATGAAATATTAAAATTTCTAGAGAAATTATTGATAATGACAAATTTAAAATATATATAAAATAAAGATTTGATAGTATAAATTTGAAATATTAGATTATACATTTAATAGATTATTAATTTGTTGCTTATAGGGTTCTGGTACATCTTGAAAGGTAGTGTTTTTAAACTAATGTTGCCAATTATTTGAATAAAAAAAGAAATTTATTAAAAGAATGCTTAATTTTGTAGTTTTATCAAATACTAATATGTATTTATATATTCTAACAAATTTAAAATAATAAAATAATTACAATTTAAGCAGTATGAAAGCTATAGAAATGTAGAAATATTTTAAAAATAATCTTTTATATTACTTTTAATATAAAATATATTTGAAAGAAAATAATATGTTGTTACAATAGTGATTGAAGAAAAAATATTTCATGAAATAATTAAAATGTAGTTAATTATTTTAATGCCAATTCATTTTTTTTTTAATGTTCTTCATTTATAATTAGACATGTAAATGAATTTTTCTCAATCAAAAATAATTTGTTCAAATTC